AAACATTGTTAAGAAGTGCTATATTATAATTCGAATTAAAGATTGAACTTTTTTCAATAGATAATAATATTGGTAATATTAGTAATTAATTATCAGTACAAATAATTCGTGATGAGTATATCAAATTGTATGATATGATTGGAGTTTATTTCGAATGTCACGAAAATGCCGCTATTGCCTCACGTATATATTTTGTAAGATATCGTGACAGGAGACATTATGGCAAAGAAGTATTTGAAAGAAAGGCAAAAAGATTAAGAGAAACTGGTAGTTTTTCTCGTCCTTGTTTTAAACGACGTAGTAGATTTATGACCGAAGATAATTCAATCAATGTTCTTGCTTTAATTCAACAGAATCCACATATAAGTAGTCCGAAATCTCTACTTCTTTGCCACAATATCTCCTGCCAGGATATCTTACAGAATATATACGTGATTCAATAGCGCCATTTTGGTGATATTCGAAATAAACTCCAATCATATCATACAATTTGATATACTCATCACGAATTATTAGTACTGATAATTAATTACTAATATTACCAATACTAATATCTATTGAAAAAAATGCAATTTTCAATTCGAATTATAATACACATAACACTTCTTAACAATATTTTGACTGCTGTCAATAAATAAACAATATGAACTCCCTGTCAAATTCATTGTCGTAGCCTACTTAGTTTCGAAAAAACAATTTTTAATCATATGAAATAACAATGGTCAAAATAGGTATTAAATTAGGAGTTTTCTGCTATAAAAAATTTTGAAAGTACCTACTGACTTATTTTTTAATTTATTTTATAATACAGGGTGTGTCAATACTATACTTACTTATGTTTATGCGTTTTTATTCATATCTCGAGTTCGATAAAAGCTATTAACATGCGGTTTGCGCCATTTTGTTACGAATTTAATCCAGTTCCATTATAATTTAAAATAAATAGATATTTCCATTAAAAATTTTGAAGAAAAACAAATTTTAATTTTTTCTATTCGAAAGTACCCTCTACCTACGACAATTAAAACTAAATGCAATTATTTTATAGTAGATGTAAATTAATTCATCCATACTCTTTCTAATGACACTAATTTTGTTAAAATCGGTTGGACCAAATCAAAGTTATAGGTATTTATCCACAAATACTTTCCCACTCTCCCCCACCCTTTATTTGAAAAATAAAAAAAAAGTACTTGAACAACTTTGTGCAGAATTTATGCCTCTTTCTAGTTTACTTATTCAACACTTGGTATAATTGGACATATTTCCCAAAAAACTGGTTTTCAAAATTTTCTTCGCAGGTTACGCCCCCTAGCGGTTAATCCAGAATCTTGAAAGTTATTTCCAGCGATTTCTCTTGGCCACTTTTACTAAGGAATTTTTTCTCCTAAAGTTATAAAATGAATAGTTTCTGATATATAGCCGAGAGATCGGCTTATTGTACCACCCGGTACAAAACGTCATTATATGATCCGTTTAAAATTCAAAATTTTACACAACACAATGGTCTAAATGTTTCCGATGATGTTGGTACACCGCTAGAAATGTTCTTGTGTTTGTTCCCGACGAATTCGTTTGAGAAAATAATTTTTGAAACCAATCGTTGCGCTACACAACGATATGGGATCGCTATATTCAACAAAATATGAAGCATTGAAATGTTTCTTTGGGGTTAATCTTATGATGGGGCTAACACGTAAATGTTCTTATAACGACTATTGGTGGATGGATGATGGATCTATTCATCTCATCTTCCATCTCTCGTGACCGATTCAATTGGTTACTGGCAAATTTGTACATAAATGATAATTCCATTAAACATAAAAAAGGTGAAGCAGGATTCGATAAACTGTATAAAATACGACCATTGATAGACATTTTATCGGAAATATTTCTGTTTTCAAACGGAAAGTTTGACGATAAAGCTGAAACTAATCTTGGATCCCGTGTCGTGAAAGATCTTACCCGTTCTCTTGTTGGGAAACATCATAGAGTATGTTTTGACAAATTTAGATTTTCTGATTTAGATTTTCATTTTAATTTACAAGAAAATAAAACATATTCATTGTTGTAGTAAAGTGATATATTTCAGCTCACAGTGTGGAATGATCTACGAAGCTGAACAACCCGTTGAAACCTATAAGCATATTTCGTTTCCGTCGGAAACACAAACCGAAAGCCGGTTTTATAGATTTAAATTAAAGACTACTTTGACTGTCCATGTATACTTCACATTTAGTTGTTAAATATCAAGTAACAGATTGTGATGGAAGGCAAGTCAGTTAGCTGTCTTGTTAAAAGAAATATTTCATTGGATTATCATGCTTAAGGTCGCATGTCTGTAAAATACTAGTCACTTTATAAACTCTGAACTAGAGGTGTGCTTATTAGTTCTTTTAGACGAAATAGTTCAACAGAACTATTTCACAAAAATGAACTAGTTCAGTGAACTAGTTCGCGAAAGAACTATTTGTAGGACCGACATCGAAATCCAACCCTAAGGCTAGGCGCATACACATCGAATTTGGACGGTCGATAAAAGTTCGACCGAACTTTTGTCGATGATGCTTGCGCGCACACTACACGATATTTATTCGATGACGTTTTTTAATCCACAAAGGTTTGTTAGGTGGAGTACACAAAATCACAATGAGCAACACAGACCCACATAGCAACACGGAGCGACGTACCTTGAGCAGTGTCAAAAAACGCAACTGGTCCTCTGGTTCATCAAAACGCATCACAAATTAATTACAATATTAAAAAATAGAGGAGTTGATAGTCAAGACATACGATTCATAGAAAAGTTATACTGGCGTCAAACAGCGACAGCTTACAAAAACGGAAAATCAACAGAAATATGTAAAATACAAAGAGGTGTCAGACAGGGTTGTATACTATCCCCACTGTTATTTAATTTATATTCAGATAGAATATTTAAAGAAGCGCTGCATAATTTGGAATGGGGCGTGAAATTTAATGGAATTCTGATAAATACAATCAGATGTGCAGACGATATAGTTATTTTAAGTGATGACATGAATGGATAACAATGCCTTTTAAATGCCATTGAAACAGTGGGAAGAGAGTTTGGCCTAAACATAAACTGTTCAAAAACAAAACACATGGTGTTTATCCGTTTAGCACATCAAGATGCACGATTGTATGTTGATGGTCATATAATTCAAAGAGTGTCCAGTTTTAAATATCTTGGTTGCCATATTACTGAACAACTAGATCCAAATCAAGAGATAAAATGTAGAATCGAGATAGCCCACACGACATTTTTAAAAATGAGGTCATTCTTCTGTAATGATAACTTGAAACTTCAACTTCGAAAGCGTATGGTTAAATGCTACATTTGGTCAGTCCTCTTATACGATGTCGAAGCATGGACATTAAAAATATCCACCATTAATCGTCTGGAGGCCTTTGAAATGTGGCTGCACAGACGTATACTAAAAATTCCATGGACGGCTATGCTGACAAATGTGGCAGTCCTTGAGAGAGCAAATGCTGCTCGCGAGCTGCTTGATAACATCAAATGTAGAAAGATGGCCTATTTTGGACACGTACTAAGGGGAGACCGATATAATATTCTTCAACTTATTCTGATGGGTAAAATCGAAGGACGCAGAGGAATTGGTAGAAAGCAGGCCTCTTGGTTGAAGAATATCAGAGAGTGGACAGGAATAAAGAAAGCTGAGCAACTCTTTAGAATAGCTCGAGACAGAGACAGTTTCGCCATGTTAATCGCCAACGTCAAGGGGACTTGATAGGGCACGTTAAGAAGAAGAAGGTCCTCTGGTCGGTCGATAAAGATCGATGTCTGTACGCGCGGTCATTTGATACTATACGCCTTGGAACGACTGCAACGACCACGGCAGCCGTGAATGCAGTGATATTCATCGATCGCCACACGACCATCACACGACATCGATGCCGTGCCGTTTGGCGATCGATGTGTGTGCTCGCTCACATTTGTTTCTTCGCGCCACCAAAGGAATTTGTTTGACCGAACTTTTATCGACCGAAGAAGAACTTTTATCGACCGTCCAAATTCGATGTGTGTGCGGCGGGCGTAACAGAACTGGTTGCCAGATGTCTCGTCTAAATCATCACACAAGCTCGGCGCTAGCCGCTAGTTTTCTTTCAGTCTTTCACTAGTTCACTTAGTTCACTACCGTACAAGTAGTTCGGAACTATTTCTTTCGATCGTATGTTTAGGTTTAAATGGTTTAAATTATTATATGATTAGTTAGTTTTTATTTGCAAAAAATTATTAAGATTTGTTTTTTATTAACCGTTTTAAATATAAATATGGTTCAAGTATGATTTATTTTTATATTTATGTATATTTAAAGTCATAAGTATTTATAATTAGGTTATTTCTAAAAGAACCTTTACAAAAAAAAGTCTGTGAATTTTCTAGGAACATTAAATAACACATTTTCATTCTCACTTTTACATAAAATTATATTTTATGTAAATGCCTCAATCATTTTAACCACAACTAAAATTTTTATTTCAAAATTACAATACAAGAAACAACACAGCATGGCAACATGCAAGCCAATACATAAGATCCGAACCATTATGACATTAAGATAATGTTATTGTCACATTCATAAGAATTATAAATCTGTTATCTGAGGTTAATCGGCATTTTTTTTTAAACAAGTTAGTCCATCCATTCACAAAATAATAAATATATGTTCTAATTTATTCATTCATTATTTTCTTCTTGAGAAGTTGAGACATAATTTATAATGCAAATCGTTCTCAGTGAACTAGTTCTATGAAAATTAATGAACTAGTTCAATTAGTTCAGTTGAAAGAATCGTTCATTAGAACTATTTCGATGGTGAACTACACATTCCTACTCTAAACATATAAATATAGTTTAAAATGGACCAATCATTTTCATATCGTAGTTTAATAAATTCCTTTTAACTATGCCTAAAATTTTAAAATTTTTGTATCTACCACTTATCTCTTACCTTTCAATAACGCCACAATCCTTTTGAAATGCCTATCATTAATAATTCTTCCGAAGTCAGGAGAAGCTTTCACATTTTCTCCGAAGAATTCCGTTATCACTTTTTTAGCAATTTTAACAACTTTATCTTGAATGTCTTTGGAACAGAGGACGTAATCGGGTGCAATACAGGTCTGTCCAGAATTCGCACATTTTCCCCATAATATTCGCTTGACCGCAACTTCCAGATCTGCTGATTTATCCAAATAAACGGGACTCTTACCTACGGAAAATATAAGTTATATTATTTATTTTTCTATCCTTATATTAGTAAGATATTAGAAATATCAGTCGTATGAATAGAGTATGAATAGAAAGTACATAATGGAGACGTTCCTCTCATAAATGAACTCTCCTTTACAATGGCTTTGCCATAAATCATTAAAACTATTGCATAATATTTTATTGCGCAACAGTTGAACAGATTTTTAAACATTAAAACTATTCTTAATTTTTATTACCTATAGACCAGGAGTTAATTGTTCTAGAACACCAATATTTGGGTAAATCATATATTATCTAATTTTTTGTTTTAATCCCTTCGAAATATTATTAAAAATGATAATTTCACTAAGTGGATACTTCAAAAAGTGCGCCAAATTTTATATTAAACAAGTTGTGAAAAAAAAAATAAGAAAAATTATTTTTTTCCCTTTTCTTCGCTATATCTCGGCAGCTATTAATTTTAGAAAAATTTTGTGAAGACAAAAAAGTTTTACAATTAAAGAATGCACTCCATTCTGAGCATCCTGAGAAGGTTTGAATGCATCATTCACTCTTGCACAATGACCATGAAAATCTCTTCTCCTAATAGATCCTTTCAAAGACAAACTCACTCAACTGTGTCTCTCTGTGAACCTCAATCCTCTCAGGTTTCAAATGCAATGACTTCTCTCTCTCTGCTCTGTCAATAAAGCAGGATGTTCTGCTGGCAACTGCTCTAGTCACTATTTACTCAAAGCAAGCACACATACACGCTAGATGTATTTTAGATAGTGGATCTCAGACGTCATTTGTCTCTAAAGATTTGTCATCACCTTATAACAAAAGGTTACAAATCTCTACTGCGTAAGTGAAAGACGCCTTGTAAACCCGGTGTTTTGTGTTAAACCGTTAACCGTTGTTTCTCTCTGTAACTCGATGTATCTTTGTTACTGCCTCCTAGCACTTAAAGCTAATGATATTATTGTATAGCTCAATGTTGAATCAGCTCTATAAGTTCACTATAAATAAATCGAAGGAAAAATACGCACAAGTGTTTTATTGCTTCAGTGGTCCTTAATAAATAGGAGAGGCGAGTTCAACAACGCCTCTCTTAAATGTATTTTTTTTTTTTGGAGATGTACCAATAATGGAGAAGAAGAATATAGTAATAAGGAAATACATCATAACAATAGCGACATACATCATAACAATCATAGGAATAGCGACATGGAATGTAATATCTCTGACCGGCAAGGAAATAGAAGCTACGGAAGAAATGGAAAAAATGAAAGTACAAATAATGGGAATAAGCGAGACAAAAAAAGATAGGAAAAGGACACATCAATATCAATGAGAAATATAGTCTATATTATTCCCGAGTACCACAGGGTCACAGAGCAAAAGAAGGAGTCGGTATAATAGTGAATAAAAGAATAGAATCAAGAATAACAAACTACGAAGCAGTATCATCTAGAATAATCACAGCCCAAATAGAACTAAAAGACAAAATAGGAATAATACAAATATACGGACCAACAGAAGGAAATGAAGAAAAGATAATGATAGAATTCTACAACGAACTATAAAACGCATTAGACAAATACAAATTAAGAGAGACAAGGGAAAAAATAATAATCTTAGGTGATTGGAATTCAAGAGTAGGTAAGGACATTAACAGGGGATTAGGATGCATTGGACAATATGGGAAAGACACATTAAATAGAAATGGAATTAAAATGCTGGAATTCTGCCAAACCAATGACCGATAATAGGAAACACATTCAGTGAACAAACCATTAACGACAAATATACATTTGTGGCTGAAGAGAGAAATGCGAAAAGCTTAATCAACTATATAGTCTATACGAGAGAGCTAGAACAAAATATAAAAAATATCTTAACGGAAAAGGAACCGGAACTGTCTACACACACAGAATGGTCACTGCAAAACAGGAGGATGAAAAAATGGAGGAAGTGGAAAGAAAAGATATAAGAAAGTAAATGTAAACAAACTAAAGATAGAACGTGTACGAAAATTGCACACGGAGGAAACTAACAAAAGACTGGGATAAATAGAGTGCCAAAAAGAAACATGGACAATGGAAGAAATATGGAATACTTACAATGAAGTATTAAAGACAACAGCAACTGAAGTGTGTGGAATCAAAAAATATAATAAACAATTGAAAAGGACAAGATGGTGGAATAAAGAAGTGAAGACAGAAATAAAAAAGAAGAAAATAGCATGGCAAAAATACATCGAAACGGGATTAGAAGAAAATAGAGAAAAATACTATAGGCAGAGACGATTGGTAAAAAAGACAGTCTCACAAGCAAAAGCAAAAACATGGAAAGAATTTGGAGAAGAACTTCAGGAAGAATATATAACAAATAATAGAAACTTTTGGACGACAATACGACATATAAGGCAAGAAGGACGAAAGGAAATATACGCAGTAAGAGATACTTCAAACCAAATACAAATAAGCCCAGAACAAGTAGCTAGGGTATGGACAGAATATTATGAGAAAAAATTTGATACCGAAGGGATAAATGAAGACAATATAAACAATGAAGGCGAAGAAAACACAGAGCTAGAGCAAATAAGTAGAGAAGAAGTAATAGAAGGATTATCAAATATAAAAATAGGCAAGGCAGGTGGAGATGATGAAATTGAACCGGAAATGGTAAAATACATGGAAGAAGAAGAAATAAACTGGCTATGGAAAATATATAAAGAGGCGTGGGGAAAACAAAAAATCCCTAAGACTGGCAGAATAATATCATCGTGCCAATATACAAAAAAGGAGAACATGTAAACTGCGACAACTATAGAGCAATATGTATGTCATCGGTATGATTTAAAATATATACGAAAATGATAGAGAAGAGACTGAGGCAAGAAGTAGAAATTGTATTGGGAGAACAACAAACGGTATTTAGACCGGGAAGACAGATAAATGACAACATATATATCATTAGAAACCTAATAGAAACAAGCATAGATACGGGGGGGGGAAACTAGTATTGGCATTTATAGACCAAAGAGCAGCATTTGACATGATAGAAAGACATATTATAGGGAAATGCTTGAGAAAAATAAATGTACCTAATGCATTGATAAAAATTATAGAAAGTACTTACAAAGAGGTAAAAGGAAGGGTACAAATACCAGGGAAAAGATCGGAAGCATTTAATTGGAAATAGGTATTAAACAAGGAGATAGTCTTAGCCCTTTGCTATTCATAATCGTAATGAACGAATTGATAAGAAACACTAGAGTCAGAACCAATCAACTGCAGACAATAATAGGTTACCACAGATTACAACCGGTAACAATAGAGTCCTTAATGTATGCAGACGACATAGTACTAATAGCAGATTCCAAGAATAAAATGCAGAAACTAATGGATATATGGGTAGAACAAATAGAAGAACTAAAAATGGAGATAAACAAGGAAAAAAGTAAGATAATCAGTGGCAAAGGAGATCAGGAAGATAATCAAATAAAGATAAAATGTAAAAACTCAGAATTGGAAATAGTAACAACTTACGAATACCTGGGAAGTATAATAACTAATGACGGAAAAATAGACTGGGAAATAACAAATAGAGCAAAGAAATCAAACAAGTTATACCATGCGTTAGCCCAATAATGGGAAAAAGAGAACTTACACGAGAGACAAGAATAAAAATATATAACACAATAGTGATACCGACTGTGCTCTATGCAAGTGAAAACTGGACAATTCTGAAAAAACATAAGAGCAGGATAAACGCAATGGAGATGAGACATCTAAGAAGGATAGTTGGAGCAACGAGACTATTAGGAGAATGGCCAAGCAGAAACCGATAATGAACAAAATAGCAAAGAGACAAATGAACTGATATCGGCATCTGATGAGGATGCAATCCAATAGATTATGAAACAAAGAACATCGGAAAAAGAAAAAGAGGCAGACCAAGAAAAAAATGGATACGTAGTATAGGCGGGAAAACTTAAACAAAAATCACTCGAGGAATTGAAAATAATGGCAGGAAACAGAAAAGAATGGAAGAGGTGGGTAAATGGAAATTAAAATAGCTAGCCTAAATCCGACACCCTGATAGGGTAAAAAGAAAGGGGAGAAAGAAAGAAAGAATAAGTCAATTATTATTAATGTAGTTATCTCAAACTTTTTCTGCAAAAATCCGAATGCCACCTCTCACATCCAAATTTAATCGTTTTTTCACAGATCCGCCCTGGTTTAAAAAGACTAACCGGAAACCGACTAACCGTTGGAGTCAATTCTTTTGTTGAAAGTCAACTTTTAAATAACCTTGTTTCTCAACATGGTTTAAATTTATACTGAGATGTGACTCCGACGAATTCAGACACATACTGTATGTATGTTCGTTTCAACAAGCTCAGACTTGTATTTTTCTAACCAGAGGCTATACATACCAGGTTACAATACAACGAATAAAGAATTATTTTTTGTTTTATAAATAGGTCAGGGATGGCGTAAACGGATAAGCAATTCTACTTAGTGAGTTTTTTGAATACAGCATCCAGGTACTAAAGTTTATAAACAATACCTTTTATCCTTCTATTAAAAAAATTAGCGTCTGAAAGTTAAGGATATAATTTTCAGGAGTTGGTCATCTAATCTTTCTATTTATTCATTTCATTATGTTTTCCTGATGTTGCTCTACTTCTATTATCAATGTTTCATATTTTGCGATCTTATTTGTCAAATTATATTAAATACATAGTTTTATAATAAAGTTGACCAACATCAAAGCCACTACGCAAATAAGTTTTTAAATTTTTTTATATTCCATTACTCCATATTTTGTTCAATGCTGATTGGTCTTCTCTCTTCAAATTATTAATGAATGCATTTCAGTAGACATCAGTTCTATTTTAGGAAGCACTTGCGACTTGCGATACAAAAAGCTCTAGAGTGGGCGAATCAAAGTACAATACACAAAGCAAACAATTTTATCAAAGTCTAAGTTGGTTTTGCGAGCATTATC